TCGTGGTGTGAGTCGTTCGGGCGCCTCGTCCTGGTGTGAGTCGTTCGGGCCCCTCCTTCTGGTGTGAGTCGTTCGGGCTCTTCGTGGTGTGAGTCGTTCGGGCCCCTCGTCCTGGTGTGAGTCGTTCGGGCTCCTCGTGGCGTGAGGCGTTCGGGCACCTCGTCAGTGCAAGTCGTTCGGGCCCCTCGTAGTAGTAGTAGTAGTAGTAGTAGTAGTAGTAGTAGTAGTAGTAGTAGTAGTAGTAGTAGTAGTAGTAGTAGTAGTAGTAGTAGTAGTAGTAGTAGTAGTAGTAGTAGTTAGTAGTTAGTAGTTAGTAGTAGTAGTAGTAGTAGTAGTAGTAGTAGTAGTAGTAGTAGTAGTAGTAGTAGTAGTAGTAGTAGTAGTAGTAGTAGTAGTAGTAGTAGTAGTAGTAGTAGTAGTAGTAGTAGTAGTAGTAGTAGTAGTAGTAGTAGTAGTAGTAGTAGTAGTAGATGTATTTTGGGAGCCTCTTGGAGGCCTTTTGGGGCGTCTTGGGGGCCTCTTGGCGGCCCCAGGGGCTTCTAGGAGCGTCTTGGGTGCCTTGGGGGAGCCTCTTCGGGCCTCTTGGGAGCCTCTTGGAGGCCGTTTGGGGCGTCTTGGGGGCCTCTTGGCGGCCCCAGGGGCTTCCAGGAGCGTCTTGGGTGCCTCGGGGGAGCCTCTTGGGGCCTCTTGGGGGCCTCTTGGGGGCATCTTGGGGGCCTCTTGGAGGCCTCTTGGGGCCTCGGGGGCCCTCTTGGGCGCCTCTTGGAGCGTCTTGGGGGCCTGTTGGGGCCATCTTTGGGGCGATCGATCACAGATGGGGCGAGCATTTTTGTCAGTCCCCCCGTCGGGGCCAGAATCCTCGTGAGGGGTGTCGAATTTTAGCCCTCCCAGGAGTCGAAACAGACCCCTCCAACCACCCGCGAAAGGACCTCTCCAGGCCCAGGGGGAGGGGGGAGGGGGAGGGGTAAACCCCTCCCCGAAGGGGAAGAAGGGGGGTTGAGAACAGAGAGAGCTCGCTAAACCACTCACGCCCAAAGGGCTGGTGAGATTAAGGGCCGCTTTGGGATCGGAAGAGTCTCGCTGTTCCCCAGGTCCTTTCAGGGCTGGTGCTGTAGCATTCCTCGTGCACGCAGGCGCTTTGGGGGCCAAAAGTGAGCTTCGTTCCTTATTCGGCGTTCCCGATTGTAGCAGCCTGGATGTAGGGTCATGAAGGTCAAGGACGTGACACATGATAGCCGCGTTCTGACATGGGGGGCGGCCTCCGTTCGTGTAGCTGCACCGCTTTGCTCTGAGGAAGTCCCAAGTGAAAGCTACATGGGCAAGGGAATCGCCTTCCATTCGTCGAACTGTTGCGCATGTTTTCGGGCCCGTGTAGCACGAATTGGGGAAGTAGTAAGCGAGAGCCCCACTTCGAAAGGGAATGACCCAGCACAAAGGAATAAGCTCTTGAGGTCAATTTGCTAGGCACCGAGGCGAGAGCCACATTTTGAAACCGACTAGCCTTCTGCACGTGCGAGTGTTGGAACCTTGTCGTGCGAACGTGCGCTGCGCCGGGGAGAGAGCCACACGACAAGCCGCCCGCCCTCAATTCCCACAAGTGCGCGGGGTTGAGGCGAGAGACCTACAGTGGAGACCCATGCCAAGAAGCACCCTGCTTGCCTCCAAAGTGCCCTGGGTTTCTTGGGTTTCGATGGTTTTGCCATGGAAAGCGTGACGTTCCCACACCAACAAAACTTAGCCTGACGCAGGACCCGACCATATGCTGCTGCGAGTACCGCGAGGGAGAGGAGACGAAGGAGGGGGACAGCAAAAAGGACTGCGGCGTGCATGAGGGAAGAACAGCTGACGCGCGCGAGCGGGGAGCCTTCTTGGTTTCGCCCGAGCCCCGTGCGCGGCCCGTGCTATGCGGACGCTCCCGCTGGTGCCTTCGGTGGAGCTCCCTCTGGGGCCATGAACCGTGTGAGGGGTGCGCCGAAATGGGGCATCGATGGCATGCGGATGCTCCCGCTGTGGCCTTCGGTGGAGCTTCCTATAGGGCCACGAACCGTGTGAGGGGTGTGCCAACATGGGGCGGCGGTGCCATGCGGACATTCCCGCTGGGGCCTTCGGCGGAGCTCCCTATGGGGCCACAAACCGTGTGAGGGGTGCGCCGAAATGGGGCAGCGGTGCGATGCGGACGCCCCCGCTGGGGTTTTCGGTGGAGCTTCCTATAGGGCCACGAACCGTGTGAGGGGTGTGCCAACATGGGGCGGCGGTGCCATGCGGACACTCCCGCTGGGGCCTTCGGCGGAGCTCCCTATGGGGCCACTAACCGTGTGAGGGGTGCGCCGAAATGGGGCAGCGGTGCCATGCGGACGCCCCCGCTGGGGTTTTCGGTGGAGCTTCCTATAGGGCCACGAGCCGTGTGAGGGGTGTGCCAACATGGGGCGGCGGTGCCATGCGGACACTCCCGCTGGGGCCTTCGGCGGAGCTTCCTATAGGACCACGACCCGTGTGAGGGGTGTGCCAAACTGGGGCGGCGGTGCCATGCGGATGCTCCCCGCTGGGGCCTTCGGCGGAGCTCCCTGTGGGGCCACGAACCGTGTGAGGGGCGTGCCAAAATGGGGCTGCGGTGCCATGCGGACGCTCCCGCTGGGGCCTTCGGCGGAGCTCCTTATGGGGCCACAAACCGTGTGGAGTGTGTGTGTGTGTGTGTGCCAATCTGGGGCGGCGGTGCCATGCGGGCGCTCCCGCTGGGGCCTTCGATTGAGATCCCTATGGGGCCACGACCCGTGTGAGGGGCGTGCCAACATGGTGCGGCGGTGCCATGCGGACGTCCCGCTGGGGCCTTCGGTTGAGCTCCTTATGGGCCACGAACCGAGCTAAAATGGGGCGGCGGTGCCATGCGGACGCTCCCGCTGGGGCCTTCGGCGTAGCTCCCTGTAGGGCCACGAACCCGAACCGTGGGAGGGGCGTGCCAAAATTGGGACGGCGGTGCCATACGGACGCTCCCGCTGGGGCCTTCGTTGGAGCTCCTTATGAGGCCACGACCCGTCTGAGGGGTTTGCCAAACTGGGGCGGCGGTGCCACGCGGACGTCTCGCTGGGGCCTTCGGCGGAGCTCCCTGTGGGGCCACGAACCGTGTGAGGGGTTTGCCACAATGAGGCGGCAGTGCCATGTGGACGCTCCCGCTGGGTCCTTCGGTGGAGCTTCCTATGGGGCCGCGAACCGTGTGAGGGGTGTGCCAAAATGTTGCGGCGGTGCCATGCGGACGCTCCCGCTGGGGCCTTCGGTGGAGCTCTCTGGGGCCACGAACCGTGTGAGGGTGTGCCAGAGTGGGATGGGCATGCGGAGAGCAGAGGCAAGGGATGGAAGGAGGGAGGGGGGGAGGGGGCAGCGGGAGGTGTGGTGCGGTGACGCGGGGCGCTGTCTCTTCAAAACGAGGACCCACCACCACAGGATGGTTGGGCATCGATGCACGCCCTGGGGTCTCAGGGTTGGGTCTCTTGTGGGCGGTTTCTTGTGGTCGAGCTCCTGTTATAAGCGGGCGGGCCAGAGGCCCGCGTCCGACGCGCAGCCCGCCCGCACCGAGGCCCAGATCTGGCCCAAACCGAGCGGCCGGCCTGCGAGGCGCTCGCGCGCGCGCGCCGCGCCCGAGGCAGCGGCGCGCGGCCATGGCTCCCTACGGGGCCGCGCAGCGCCCCACGGTCGGCCGCCAGCTGGCGCGCGCCGGCTGGGCCACGATGAGCGGCTCCTCGCTGCCGGGCCTCCCGTCCAAGGGCGCGGCGCCCAAGGCCGCCGCCCCTCTCCAAGAGGAGGACGGCGCGCGGCTCGTGGACGAGGTGGCGGGGTCGTGGGGCAAGAGGTTCATGCACACCATCCGGCGCGTGGGCCTGCACGAGGGGGCCTACCACTACGAGTGCCTCTTCAGCCGCCCCGTCAACGATGCGCCGGTGCCAGGCATGGTCGTGTCCGTGCGCTTCGCGCTGCTGCAGGGCGGGTCCAGGCCCAGGCTGTTTTACAGCTTCGAGGAGGGGGACCTGCGGCTCGAGTGGGACCTGCAGCTGGACGACCGGGGCACGTGGAGGGCCGCCAAAGGGCAGCAGGCGCTGTCCCTGAAGCACGGGGTCTTCGAGAACTACCTGGACTCCCACGTGCGGGAGAAGCTAGCCACGAAGGAGCGGGGCATCCGCCTGGTCACGCCCTTCGAGGAGACGCGGCTGAGGCCCCCGAAGGAGGCACCGCTGCTGCAGTCCGGGCAGGGCGTGCAGCAGAGCACGCCCGACGTGGACCCGGCCGCGTGCCCAGCGGCCTCCGACGGCGGCGGCTCGACGAAGGACTCGGCGGACGCCCTGGCTCGGGGCCGCAGGTCCTCGGAGGCATCGCCGAAGGCGTCCAAAGAGACAGCAGAGGTCGCTTGCGCAGCCCCCGTGACGATCATGGTGAAGACACCCACGGGTGGTGACGCCCCCGCCGTCGCCCCCGCCGAAGGGGAGAGGGAGGATCGGAGGTTGACAGAACCCTCACCCTGCCAAGTCGATTACCGAACTGCCTTCCTTCGGTTCTCGGCGGCGTGCTGCGCCTACAGTTTCTGCGGTCCCTCGCCCGACAATCTCGGGTCCCTGGCCGTCCTCGAAGAAAAAAAGTGTTTTTTTGCGCTGGAGTGGGCTCTGCCCACCCGTTGGGGAGGAGGAGGGGTCCGTCGTGGCCGCGATGTGGAACTCGCTGATCCAGTCGGGCCTCACGTGGGACAAGGTGACCCAGCCCGACTCCCTGAAGGAGCTGCTCGCCAACATGTTCGACGCCGCCGACGAGGACGGCACCGGCTGCCTGTCGCACTACGAGGTGGCGCGGGTGCTGGACGCCACCCTGCCGGGCTTCGGCCTGGAGCAGTGGGACATCTACGCTCTCATGGCCAGCGCCCGCGAGAGCGAAGACGGCTTCATCGAGTGCCAGCCGTTTATCGAGGTCGCGCCCGATGTCATGGTCGGACTTCGCGAGAGGCGCCTGGCCTACAAGGGGCGCGGCATGCCCGGCGTGGAGGTGACGATCGAAGCGGTGAGGCACTGCTTCGGCGAGGAGATCCTGGGCACGACCGACTCGCTCCGAAAGCAGTTCGAGGAATGCTGCCAGGAAGACCCCAGCCGAGGCATCTGGGAGGAGGAGGAGGCCGCCGTCGGCGCGCCCGCCAAGGACCCGGCCGCCGCGACGGCGGCCCGCAAGTCGTCCAGCGACGACTTGTCGCTGCCCCCGAACCTGGCAGAGAACAACCCCCACCACGGCTCGGTCCTGGGCGCCGGCGGTCAGACGCTCGTGGGCATGAAGCGCCGGCACTGCCGCGAGTGCCTCCGCCAGCTGCCGGAGCGCCTCAGCCCACAGGAGGCCCAGCGGATCATGGAGATGCTGCCGGAGGACGAGGACGGCAACGTCATGTTCACGAGCCTGGACGAGCGCCTCGAGCACCTGCGAACGGAGGCCATCAGCAACGGCGTCGTCGAGACGGACCTGCGCGCGCTCAGGGTCCACCTGGTGGAGTGCTTCCGCCCGTTGCTGGACGAGGACAACCCAAGCAAGATGAAGGTGTGGGACGTCAAGACAGCCCTTCTGTCCGCCGACCAGGTGTGCTTGTCCCGGATCCAGCTCCACGTGCTCTTGTGCCTAGCGGATCCAGACCCGACCACAGGCGACGTGGACGTCGCCGAGTTCTTGGGCCTATGCAGCGTTGTCATCCCGCACATGTGCGACGCAAAGGTGTTCATGGCGACCGCTGAGCGGCTCATCCTCGAGCACGAGGAGAACCGTCGCCGCAGCGAGAACGCTGAGCTGCTCGCCCTGGGGGCCGCCCGCGTCGCCGCGATCGGCCAGGACGGCGAGGAGAAGAGCCAGGAGAATGAGGTCGATCAGGAGACCGTTGAGCGGAATCTCATCCAGGTGCTGCAGTTCCACGACAACACGCACCGCCATACCCCAGCGCTTGCGCCCAGCGACATATTCGACGTGCTCTACTCGAACGACACCCAGGTCGAGGGGTGCCAACTCTCCTACTTCGAGCTCAACGGCCTCGCCGCAGAGATGACCCCGAACGCCGACGACGAGGTGCCCTACGTGGAGCTCATCAAGAGGTGGGTGCCCATCATCTTCGAGGTCCGCAAGAGTCCGCTGTTCGAGGCCTACCTCAAGGAGGACGCCGCGGGCACCCTGGGCATTGCCGTGCCCAATCTGCAGGCTCTCGAGGAAATTATGCCGTTGCTGTCGGCGGAAATGCGGGAGTCGTTCGCAAGCAAGAAGGCAGTTGCCACGGGTGAGCTCCTCACGAACTCCGCCGATGCCTCTGCCCCCAGCAGCAGGTCCGTCAGCCGGGTCGCGTCGAAGGCGAAGGCGGACCTCGGCCCGCCAGAGCCGTTCGAGGCAGTCGCTACTGCCTCGGTCACCAAGCTGACGAGCTTCCGGCGGGCGCAGGGGCGGCAGGCGAGCAAGGCCGGCCTGAAGAGTACGGACATGAGGTCGCCCCGCGGCAAGGTCGTGGAGCCCCCGCCGGGCCGGGGCTACGAGCGGAGGAAGCAGCTCCTGAGCTTCAAGCGGGAGGCCGGGAACAGGACCGACTCGCTGGAGCAGGGGGGGCCCGAGCCCTGAGCGCTGCCCGGGCAGCGAGCCCGGCGGCCCGACCCTTCCCCTGTTGCCGGTCCGCGGCCCGCGGGTTGGGGGCCCCGCCGCGCGAGCGCGTCCTGTCCGTGGGCTCTGCACCGCCGCCGGAGCCCTCTCCTCTCTGGGATGAAGTCGGGCCTGTCCCTCTGCAGGAGGAAGATCCAGAAATAGTCAGAGAAGTAGTCTGGGCACGTTTTTCTTTGTGTTATTATTTATTTATTTATTTATTTATTTATTTATTTATTTATCTATTTATTTATTTATTAATTAATTATTATTATTATGATTATCATTATTTATTGATATATATAAACAAAAAATTGTTTGAATATCTGTTCATGCATTTTTGGGGTAGTTTTATTTGTTCGCCCAAAATCCGCCTGTAGGGGGACACGCCCGACTTAACTCTAGGAACAGAGATTACTTTGCATCTTCGGGGGACCTTTTCCCGCCCTGTGAATTGAAGTCTTTTATCTGCACTCCGACGTGGGTCCGACGCGGGCTCGACGTTTAGTCGACGTGGATGTGGCACGGATCCGGCACAGGTTCGACGACACGGACTTGATGCGGATTCGACGCCTTCGACACGGATGCGAATCGGATTCGGCGCGGGTCGCGGCGCGATGGGACGTACAAGGTCCCCCGAATATGCACCATACTATCGAGCAAGCGTTGTGCCCATCATGCGTAGTACTGTATCTTCTGTTCTCCCCCGGTTGAGCTGCAGGCCGCTCGACCGCCAACTGCGTCTTGCTGAGTTGGTCCTCGCACGTTTGCGAGGCCAGGCAACGTTTGTGCGGCCACAGCGTGGCGGCGTGTACTGGCGCGATGGCGCGCGGAAGAATATATGACCAGTGGATTTGCCATCGAGACCACCACTTCCGCCTCCGCTCCCACTTCCGTCCCCGCCCCCGTTACCAACCCTGCTCTTTTTCCAACCTGGTCTCTTTGGTTTAGTCCTATTCTCACCCCTGCTCCACCCCCCTACTCCCACTCCCGTTGCCACTTCATTCCCTGGTCGGCTACCTGATATTGGTCCTACTGTTGATCCTGCGCCCTACTCATTAGTCTTTATCCTGTTCTTGTTCACGATCGAAGACGGCAACGGCGAGTCACCCCCGCCCTCTGCCTTTTTGAAACCGGTTGTGCTGCGAAACGTCCAGCGAAAGTGTGGCCACGTTTGTGGATTGCATGATCCCCCAGCTGTTGGTGAAACCACTGGGGGAACACTGGTGAGGAGTCCTCTGGAGCCGTCTTGAGGCTATCTTGGAGCTCTTTTCTGGCCTTCGGGTTTTGTCGGTTGGGGGCCTTATGGGGCCTCTTTGACCAAGCTGGGGCTCTCTACATCCTCAGGACGACAGCCCTTCATCTTGGGCCGGAACTGACGCCGTCAAGAAAAGTAAAATATCATACGAGTCTGAATGTGGATCTGGTTCCAGGATGGGCGGATGCAATTCCGGATCTGATCGAAGACGCTTACGGCGAATCATCGCCGCCCCCTGCCTCTTCGAATCGCCCATGTGGCCGAGCGTTGTGGCAAGAGCTCTGCCAAGCTATCGGGCCATGTGTTTCCCCGTCGTTGTAGAAATCCTTCGGGAACTCTTGGGGGAGGATGGCGGGGAAGATCAGGAGGAGGAGGAGGAGGAGGAGAAGGAGGAGGAGGATGCATCTTGGGAGCCTCTGGGGGCACTCTTGGGGCCTCCTGAGAGCTTCATGGGAGCCTTTGGGAGGCATCTTGGGGGCCTCCTTGGGCCTCGTGGGGGCCTTTGGGGGCTTCTCGGGGGCCTCTTTGGCCATCTTAGGGCATTCCTGGCCCGCTTGACGCCGTCGGAAGCCGTCTCGAGGGCCTCTCTGGGCCGACTTGGGGCCCTCTCGGGTTGCTCCAGGGCATCTGGGGCGTCTTCGAGGCCTTTTGGGCCGTCTTTGGGCTCTCCTGGGGCCGTCTTCGGGACCTCTAGGGCTGTTCTGGAGCCATCTTGGAGGGCTCGTGGGCGATCTTGGGGCGACCTTTGGGGGCGCTTGGGCCATCTCGGGCCGTCGGAAGATCGAACAGAAGCACATACCAAAATCCTCCAAACACCTACGGACAATCAATGAATTTGGCCTCTTCGGGCCTTCTTGGAGGCCTCTTGGAGGCCACTTGGGCCGTCTTGGAGACCTCTTGGGGGCCTCTTGGGCTGTCTTGGACCATCTTGGAGCCATCTTGGGCCGTCTTGGTGGCCTCCTGGCCCGTCTGACGCCCTCGGAAGCCGTCTTGAGGGCCTCTCTGGGCCGGCTTGGGGCCCTCTTGGGGTGCTCCAGGGCCATCTTGGAGGTCGTCTTGGGCGTCTTGGAGGCCTCTTGGGCCGCCTTGGGGCCCTTTTGGGGCAGTCTTGGGGGCCTCTTGGGCCGTTCTGGAGCCTTCTTGGAGGCCTCTTGGGCGATCTTGGGGCGACCTTTGGGGGCTCTCGGGCCGTCTCGGGCCAAATGCCAAAATCCTTCAAAAACCTTCGCACAATCAATGAATTTGGCCTCGTCGGGCCTTCCAGGAGGACCTCTTGGAGGCCTCTCGGGCCGTCTTGGGAGCCACTTGGGGGCCTCTTGGGTCGTCTTGGGCCATCTTGGGGCCATCTTGGGCCGTCTTGGATGCATCTTGGGCCGTCTTGGAGGCATCTTGGGGCCATCTTAGCCGTGCGGCCTCTTTTGGGCTTCTTGAGGGCCCTCTGGGGCTGCTCGGGTCTCGGGGGTTGTCTTGGGACACAGGGCTCGACATGTCAATTCGTGTTCCCCACCTTGGGCCTCTCTTGGGACACTCTTGGGTCGCCTTTTGGGGCTTCTTGGGTCGTCTTGGAGCTCTCTTGCCGTCTTGGGCCCCGCTTTTGGTACGATCTATGGATCCTCTTGGGCAGTCTTGGAGCCTAGATCCTTGAAGGACCGGGTGGTAATTCATATAATTTTGCCTCTTGCTGCCCTTTTGGGGGGTCTCTCGGAGCCCTCTTGGGTCGTCTTGGGGACCTCTTGGGCCGTCTTCAGGCTATCTTGGGCGTCTTGGGGCCCTCTTGGCTAGTATCGTGGCGCTCATGTACCGTCTGGGGGACCTCCTGGGACCCTCTGGTGGTATGGGGGCAACTTGCGGCCAGCTCAGCGTCAAGAGAGCTCACGCGACACACCCTAGGCATTCCGAGGAAATCCCAGGAGCGCCCGGGGAAACCGCGTGTCGGAGCCCACTAGAGCCTTGAAGCGAATTCTTTGAACACTGACAACTGGGTGATCGTTGTTTTATTCATTATTTTGCCGATCGGCGCGGGCCCTCGCACCCCCCTTCCCCCTCCCCATGGAGTAGATCTTAGCTGTTTTGGGCGCCTGCTTCAAGCGGGTGGGGTCTCCCCCAGAGGACGCACGGTTCCAAACAGTCGCACTAAGCAGAGGTCGGGAGCCAGGGCCCCCCCCTTCCGCCCAATGTCGAAACACCGACTGATCAGCCTTCGGGCACTCCACTTCGTGCTGACGGCACGGTGGCGGATGATGGGAAGCGCCTTCAGCGTGCACCGATTGTTCTCTGGTAACTTGCGCACTTCGCAACTCGCTGGCGCATGACCTGGAACATAACAGTTTCGCTCGAGATATCCTCGAAACAACGGCCCCGGAGGGAACTCCGAACCAGCAGCATCTTGGAATTGCTGCCGGAAGGCTTCGAAACCATGCAGAAGAGCTCCAAAAGGCCCCCCAGAGGACACAAAGAGTGCCCCAAGAGGTTCCCCAGAGCGCCCGGGAGATCCCCAGACGGCCCACAAGAGCCCCAACACAGCCCAAGATGGCGCCAAGATTGCTTGAGAGAGCCACCACAGAACCCGAAGACACGCCCAGCCAGCCAAAGAAGAGCCTTGTAGCCCCCAAGAGGACCTCGAAAGCCCCCAAAGAGGCCATTATGATGCCCCACAATAGCCCCACACGGCCCCAACAGCCCCCAGGGCAGCCTCAAAAGATCACGAGGACCCCCCCTCTTTCGACGTTCTTTTCCTCGTGCCTCTTATCGTCGTCCTTCGTCGTCGTCGTCCTCCTCCTCCGCTTCATTCCTCATCGTGCTCGTCATCCTCCCATCTCTTCCTTCTCGTCCTTGAGCTAGTCGTCCTGCTCGTTGTCCTCCTGTTCCCCTCGCATTGTGGAGGACGATCAATTGAGAAGAAGCACGTTGCCAAATAATTTCCAGATGTCCAAACATGTTAAAACCATGTTAGGAAGCAGTACCAAACCATGTTTAGAACATGTTTCCCACATGTTAAACAAATTTTAGTTTCAATGATAGGACTGTTAGGGTGTCCATTGCCGTGGCATCCACAACCCTCGCTGCCCTCCCCGCCGTCCACGCTGTCATCCTCGTCATCCGCAAACTTGTGGTCGACATCACCCTTCTTTTCTTCCCCCCCTACGATTATGACGTTCCAACCTACTTTAGCCTTGATCACCAGGAAGAATTTCGAGCGCAATCAAAAAGTAGCGAAACTCGAGGGTTTCCACGTGTCGGGCCCTGGGAGACACTCGTCCGACACTGTTTCGACACTGCTTCGACGCTGTTTCGACACGTTTCCTGGTGCTCGAGATTATTTCTGGGATGTGGTCTTTAAGTACGATGTGAGCAACAGAACCCTACGAGCCCGAATGGAAAACATCGGTGCTCCTGGTCAGGTTCATGTGGAGTGGATCAGATTTCCGGTCGCGTGGATCTGCATGTGTTCCCCAGGTCTAGCTGGTGCCCCGTTTCTCAGACGGATCTGATTCCCCAAGCAGTGCTTGCGCTCAGGGGTCTCTGACCGTATGCCCCCGAGAACAAAGCCTACCGCACCCCATTCCCACCAATCTAATGATTACCTCTGGCCAGTACAGTTTTGGCCGGCGGCTGGTCCGAGCTTCAATTTCACCGGGGAAGTACCAATCGCAGATGCAATCTCATCACCATGAGTAGTAGTATCATCATCCGACTACTGCTACTACTGCTACTCCATACTACCACTGCGCTGCTAGTACTGCTACACCAGACTGCTGCTGCTACGATTGCAAATACTATCGCTGCCACGGTCGCCAACTGTAGCACGACGACGAGTACTACTCCGATTACGACGACGATGACTACTGCTATTATTACTACGACTACTATTACTACTACTGCTACTACTACTATTACTACTACTACGACTACTACGACTACGACTACTACGACTACTACTACTACTACTACTACTACTACGACTACTACTACTATTACTACTACTACTACTACTGCAACTACTACTACTACTACTACTACTACTACTACTACTACTACTACTACTACTACTACTTACTACTACTATTACTACTACCACCACTACTACTACTACTACTACTACTACTACTACTACTACTACTACTACCACTACGATGACTACTACTACAAGCATTACTATTAGTGCTACCACTACTAGTATTACTTTTGCTCCTACCACTACTATGACTGTGACGACTAGTACTACTACTACTGCTACTACGATTATTATGATTACTACTACCACTACTACTACTACTACTACTACTACTACTACTATTACTACTACTACTACTACTACTACTACTACTACGACTACTACGACTACTACGACTACTACTACTACTACTACTACTACTATTACTACCAGTAGTACTACTTCTGCTACTACTACTACACTTGTTATTACTATGACTACTACTACTGCGACTACTACAATACGACGACCACCACTACCACGACAACCCCTAGTATTAGTACGACTACTGCGACGACGACGACGACTACGACTACGACTGCTACTACTACTACTACTGTCCCGCTTACTACGAGCACCGCTACTAATGTTAGTATTATTGTGGTTACCACTACGGCC